AGCCCGGCCCGAAACACAGTCGGGCTTATTGTGTTAAGCCCGAGGTTAGGCCCGCGGGCCTAATTATATGACCAAGCCTGGCCGGGGTGCGGGCCGGGCCGTTGGGCTACCCGGCCCATGAACAGGTCTAGCGACTAGGCGATTTTTAGAAGTTGCCTCGCCCAACGCCAAGGTGTTTTTGTATTAGGCGCTCACCCATATATATGTTATATTATTTTTTTGAATGTGCACATGTATTATGTCATTTATTGGTTTGTTTTATCTTATTAGAATACACCCCATAGTTGTCAAGGCGCCTAGGCGAGCCTAAGCGACCACAGGGCGCTTAGTCGCCTAGGCGATGGAATTTTAAAGTATAAAATATATATCCTTACTCCTCTTAAGCTAAGTTATTGGTTTTTTATACTAACAAACATACCTGTATGCTAGCTATTAGCAATAAAATCATTTGAATAAAACATAAAATGCCATAGCTAGCATCCAGGCCAAAAAAAAGGGGGATTGCAGATAAGAAAAGAGTGAAAAATAAGGGGGCGGAGCCCCTGTTTCGTTCACAACATAAGTTGTCCAAGAGGACGATGTGGACTGTGTTTAAGGGGGTGGAGACCCTGTTTCAGGCTAAAAAAAAATGGAGGATTGTTAAGAAGAAGAAGAAGAAGGAGGAGGAGGCGGAGCCCCTGTTTCATCCCAAAAGAAGAAGAAGAAGAAGAACGTACTAGGAGGTCTTCCCGTCATCGTTTTCTCTTCTCAACTCTCGTTTTCTCTTCTCTTTAATTAAAGTAAAAGAGAATTACTTTAATAAAAAAAGATAATATACAACAGGGTGTATTGTAATAAGATAAAACAAACCAATAAAAATGGTATAATACATATGCACATTCAAAAAAATAGTATAGCATATATGTGTGTGAGCGCCTAATACAAAAGCACCTAGGCGTTGGGCGAGGCAACTTCTAAAAATCGCCTAGTCGCCTTGACAACTATGATACACCTTGTTGTATGTTATCAATTTTTATTAAAGTAATTCTCTTTTACATTAAAACTACGAAAGTTTCTTTGGGTTTGAGACTTTGAGTTTTGAACTGAGAGCTGAGAAGAGAAAGCGATGACTACGAAGTTTCCATGTTCAGTCCAAGTAGTCCAAGACCTCTAGGTACATTTCTTCTTCTTCTTCTTCTTCTTCTTCTTCTTCTTTTTGAAATATTTTTGGGATGAAATAGGGGCTCCGCCTCCTCCTCCTCCTTCCTAAAATCACATTGGTACTCCTTCATTCTTACTTCTAACAATCCTCCTCCATTTTTTTTTAGCCTGAAATAGGGTCTCCACCCCTTTAAACACAATCCACATCATCCTCTTGGACAACTTATGTTGGGAATGAAACAGGGGCTCTGCCCCCTTATTTTTCTCTCTTTTCTTATTTGCACTCCCCCATTTTTGTTGGCCTGGATGCTAGCTATGGCATTTTATGTTTTATTCGAATGATTTTATTGCTAATAGCTAGCATACAGGTATGCTTGTTAGTATAAAAAACCAATAAAGTAGCCTAAGAGGGGTAGGGAAATTTATTTTATACTTCCAAATTCCATTGCCTAGGCCTAGGCGTCGCCTAGGCAACTGAGCGCCCTGTGGTTGCCTAGGCGACTTGACAACTATGCTCCAAAGTATATCTCTAGCTTATAGGTATCCTAGATTGTTTAACAAAAGTTCTCTCATCCCATTGGGGCGTTCTCTTTTTATAGGTAAAGGGGGAAGAGGACCCATTGCACCCAAACTAGTGAGCTGGAAGTTACCTAGTCCAATTTGCAACTAAGGATGATCTTCTTGGGATTAGGTTGGTCTATTTGGTTTGAAATAGAGGTTCTACAAGCCTTAGAACTGTGGGAAACTCAAATGTGGGGAAGAGTTCTCCAAAATTTTGAAATTACTCAGGGTCAATCTACTTTAGACTGGTTTAAGAAAGATCACTTACTCAGAGGATTTTAGCCAGTCAATTTTAGGTTTTCTGTGCAAAGGGTCACTTTTTGGTTGGTCAACTTTAGACAGAATGCACAAAACCTTACTAGATCAAATCTAAGACCAATTGGTCTACTTTAGGCTGATCCCTATAACTGGTCAACTTTAGACTGGCCCTTTGGAAAAACCTTAAAAATGAGGCTCTTCCTTGAGAGTTGGTTGAACTGGGTATCTCTATAGCCAATTTACTTTAGACTAGTCATAGGGATTAGGGAAACCTGTGAGATGGGGACTTTTCCTCCCTAACCACAAGGAAGAATCCTAGGCATGGATTAGGCTTCTAGAAGTTCTACTTCTATCCTAAGTGGGATTTAAATGCAACATCCCCCTTAAACTTC